TCACGACAGAAACATAAAAAAAAAAGGAAAAGAAATATATTGAATTAAATGACAACAATACCCCTAAGACATCTGCCTGAGTAAAAAGACGAAAGTACCCATCTTCAGAAAGAAGCCTATAGATTTAGGGTTTCAGCCCAAACCCTCAGTCTTCTTATAGACAGCGTAAGAGAGAGGCGCCTTCAGACCCCCCGCCGCCGCCTGGTTTACAGCACTAGTGGGAGGAGCACCGCCACCGCCGCTGTCAACATGGGTTAGCTAATTGAAATCTCCATTTATCGCTTTCTTTGTCTGATTCCTGTGAAGTTTATAGCGATAAATTTATGGGTAATACTGGAAACAGGTATTTCACGTGATTCTATGCACAAGAGACGTGCCACTGGTGGCAAGAAGAAGGCCTGGAGGAAGAAGAGAAAGTAAGATTATGATTGCATTTCAAGGATTTGGAATAAAATTATTTTTTCTATTTTAACTCTTCATTTTTTCTCTTTTTTATTGCTGTGAGATTTCTGTAAAGGAGAGGTTTTTTTTCTGTTTCTGTTTCTTTTTTGTTCTTTTGCTGGGGATCGATCTGTTTGTTATTTTATTTTAAAGAATTTATGGTGAAAACATTTGTGCAAAAGAAAAAGTGATGACTTTATGGAAAAGCATATTATTAATACAGGGGATTGGAAATGATGACGAATTTTGGATACTTTTAATTAGTTGTGGAGTTATAGTTTTGCATAAAGATTTTACGAGATGGATTGGGAAGTAGTTATTTTCATTAAATTTCTGTTTAGAAATACCAATCTGATTGAGACTTTCATTTGTTAACAGATGATTTAGTTTCATTGCCCATAGACTTTCAGTTGGAGTATGAATTGTTATCGCAGTGGTTTTCATGTATATTAGCTTGCAAGGTGGATCTCTTTTTTTTTTTTTCAAAGTAGTAATTGACTGAGGTGAGATTTCATATGGTGTTGAATGCAAAAGGAATGCAAAACCATCGGGAAATGTTTATCAAATTTTGGAAGTTATACACCAATAGCTATTTTTATTTTGATTTTTTTTTTCTAATTGGGGTGATTGTAATCTATTCAATGGATAGGTGAATAGAATGACAAAAAGGTGCACTTCAAGGATAAAGCAGAATAATGTCGAACTGGTTCACTCATAAAATAAAAAACGTAGTTTTGTTTCAAAAGGAGAGTGACACATTGAAATTTCTAAGTTGCAGATTGATATGAGGTAAATGAACTACAAATTGTATTTACTAGTGTACAAGTATAGCTGGTGCATGCAATGAGACCATCTTGTGAGATTTCATGTCAAATGAATTCTTTGTGGGTGATATATAGGTCCTGAGATTTTATCCTACAAAATTTATTCCCATTTACCTTTGAAATTTAATAGGTATGAGCTTGGTCGTCAAGCTGCAAATACTAAACTGTCAAGCGACAAGACAGTGAGGAGAATCCGAGTGAGAGGGGGCAATGTCAAGTGGAGGGCTCTCAGATTGGATACTGGAAACTATTCTTGGGGAAGTGAAGCTGTCACCCGCAAAACTCGTATCCTTGATGTCGTCTACAATGCCTCTAACAATGAACTTGTGAGAACTCAAACCCTAGTGAAAAGTGCCATTGTTCAGGTGGATGCTGCCCCATTCAAGCAATGGTACCTTCAGCACTATGGTGTTGATATTGGCAGGAAGAAGAAGGCAGTGGTTGTGAAGAAGGAAGGAGAGGTATTATCTGTTGTCCTTTTGTTTTGCAGCCAAGTAGTTGATATTTGATTCCACCTGGTTGCGGCTACCACAACTTAATCCAAAACAAACCACTATAATATCAAACATTGCCACATGCTCTATCTTTATGCTGCTAAGTCTGACGAGAGCTTCTGAAGGTTTAGTCTGACCCAGAATAGCTATTTTTTCTGCATTGGATTGTTGACTTGCTTTGTTAGATTGTTTGACATAATTGCTTCACAACCCTCATCGAATCTTTTATCCCTACGATTTATGTTATGCCCTAGTTGCATTATATGGTTGAATAGATTATGTCATAGATGCTGATACGATATTTTAGTCCTGGTTGGCCTGGACATAGATGGAAAAGATACTGACATGGCTATTATTACCATGCTAGGAATTCATGGTCTGTGAGGTAGTTACTGGCTGATCTATGATTGCATAATTTTCTTTTTCTTTCCCTCAGTGTGTAGTATGCTTGTTGTTCTGCAACTCGTGGTCAGTGCTGTTCCTTGCTGGTTCATATGCTTCTCCCTCCCCTTTTCATGGGAATCCGTACTTGTGTATTTGGGGAATTAACATCATATCAAAGGTTTTTTAATGTGGTTAGATGAGAGTTGTGTCTTGCCTATGATTGATAACAAAGTGAGACACAATGACTTGTACGTGTAATAGAGTTTTGTTAGTGTGATTTTCTCTATTCTTCTTTTTAATGTTTGTGGTGGATGAGCAGGAAGGTGAAGGTGCTGCAGCAACTGAGGAAACCAAGAAAAGTAACCATGTTCTCAGGAAGATTGAGAAGCGCCAGAAAGAGCGTAAGCTTGATGCCCACATTGAAGAACAATTTGGATCTGGTAGGTTGTTGGCTTGCATTTCTTCCCGACCGGGTCAGTGTGGAAGAGCGGATGGGTTAGTATTATCTGGCATTGTGTAACTTGTGGGACTTTATATATTGTCTGCGTTATCTTATTCTTTGAACTTCCTCCGCAGATATATCTTGGAAGGAAAGGAACTGGAATTTTATATGAAGAAGATCCAGAGGAAGAAGGGTAAGAGTACTGGTACTGCCTAAGCTGCTGATACTCCTGAGCTCTTTGCTGTATCAGATGCAGTAGTAGCTTTAGACGCTTTTGATGGCATCATTCACTTGCTTTCTCTTCCAGTACTTGTGCGCCATATGTAACCAAATATTGAACTGAAAAGTTTTGATATTTACTGGCTAGAACCTAGACTATGTGTACTGAAGTTGCGATTTGCTGTTAAATTTTTGTTGAGGGTACATGGTTCTGCAAAATCTCATGCACAATAATCTAGTATTTTTTTTTTGTCACAACGATAGAATTTGTATAACCTAATCTAATATAATCTAAGGGGAAGGAGAGGGGGTCTCGATGTGAGTAGAGATTTCATCGAAGAAAGCCAATTAAGGCTGCCACATGAAGTGGCATTTAGTGCCAAAGGCCTAGTATTAGTTTGTTGAATCTTTTACTTTCGGCTAACGAGCTGTCAACTCTTGAGCTTATAGAAATCAGTACGTTCTCGTGTCACGCGTGTTAGAAGCTATTCGTTTTTGAGTTTTGGAACATATAATGCATGGAGGGCTGTTGAAGGACGGGGTGGACGATATTTATCTATTTCTAGATGCCAGTTATGTAATACAACATTTTGGCATATAACAATTTAGGTCCCTTCTCTAGGAAAAAGAAAAGTGAGACTTGACAGGATTTAGTTCTTCATGTGGGCTATTGTTTCTTGGTCCTGTTTGCTTAAATAATTCATAATTTTCAGAGGATGTACTTCTGGTTATCATCCTAGAGATTGTTCGGGTTGCAATTATTCGAGTGGGGTGGTTTATTAATAGTATAACAGTGCATTATTGCAATTAATATTGCAATTAGGAATAACCATCTTTTGGAAATGATTTTTCTATTTCCCCTTCGATTTTCTTGTCTTTGTGGTTTAGACTTCCAGATGTAAGGAAATATGATACTGCTCTTAACTCCAGCTTTGAAGTAATTTTCTTGAGGTCTAATGAAAGTGCACAATTTCCAGAAAAGTCAGGCTCCAACATATGGCTTCGAGTTTGTTGAAGTAGGATTTATCCCATCCAAATCTCACGCGTTGTGGGCATTTGACAGATATTAGTATACATTATTGAAAAAATTGTAAATAGAAAGTAAAATAAGAGATACAACTTTGGATTATAATTAAATTGTGAACTATTGTTATATTGGATTATAATTGTGAACTTTGGATTAAATAGAGAGTAAAAATTGGACTATTGGCATAAATTATGAACTCAGGCATTCGGGACTATAATTAATTGAATTTCAAATCTAAACTATGCTGGAAATTAACACAGTAGAACCAAGTGTTCTGTTTCATCACGCAATTACGATCCCAAAGCCCAATTTTGTTCTTTTGTTTTTTCAAACCAAAAGCAAGGCAGGGAAAGTGGGTTAAATTGGCTGCAAACGAATCAAGTTGCTTTTGAGTACTTGTGAGTCGACTTAGTTAAAATCCGACTGAAGTTCGGTCAACATTGAGCTTAAGTCGAGTTCAAATATAGATAAATTCAACTTGTTAATTCGTGAATCGATTCAATTATGTGTGTGTGTATATATATTTAGTGAAATTATGTATATATTTCTAATATTTTATTATTTATTAAGAAAAAATTACTATTTTATTCATTTTTTTAAAAAATAAATTTTTTTAAACATAAGTTCGTGCACGACAAGGTTTATGTTGAGAATTCATCGAAGTTGAGTTTGATAAAATTGAGTCAAAGTTTGACTCAATTAAGTCAAAACTCGATTCGATTCAATTCATTTACCGTCATGTCTGTAATGTTTAAAAGGGAGGTACGCGCTTTCTTTTGCGTTAAGGATTTGCATTCCCGCCATGTGAAGTTCTGAATGTTATGTTGCCATCTGTTATTGACTTGGTCAAATTGTTTAGCATTCCAATTTCCAAGTTATTGGGTAATTGAATTCCTTTTTTTTTTTTTTTTGTCATCTTGCAAGTCAAAAAACTGCATTCAAAAAACACTGCTATGGTCTAATAGAGCAGATTTTCTTGTGCTCTCAAATTATTGTTATGACTTTAGTGCTTCTTGAGGTTTAAGTCTTCCTCTTTACCTGAAGATGAGATGGTGAAATTTTCTTGGCACGTTTGCATTCAGAAAATTTGTAGAACCATCAATAACCAGCAAAGAAGGATGACAAGCATTTTGGTCCAAATTCTCTCTCTTGTCCTCTCGTTATTGCCTATGGTAACTAGCCTTCAATACCATGCAACTACTGGATGCATCCCAGTTGAAAGGGAAGCAATCATCACTTTTAAAGAAGCTCTAATAGATCCTTCAAATCGGCTTGCATCCTGGACTGGTGAAGACTGCTGTGCATGGCCTGGTGTAACCTGCAACAACAAAACAGGTAATGTAGTAAGGCTTGACCTTAGAAATGGGGAGTGTTATGAAGAAGGTGAAACTGCTATCCTCACTGAAAATTCTTCGTGCTTGGGTGGTAAGATTAGTCCTTCTTTGCTTAAGTTGCAGCATTTAAACTACTTGGACTTGAGCATGAATAATTTCCAGGGGAGCCTTATTCCAGAATTTTTAGGCTCGTTTGAGGAATTGAGTTACCTCAATCTCTCTTATGCATCTTTTGAGGGACTAGTTCCTTCCCATCTTGGAAACCTGTCAAACCTGCAGTATCTTGATTTGTATGATCTGAGAGCACTTGTTTCTGATTTGCACTGGCTCCAAGGTCTTTCTTCTTTGAAACACCTCAACATGGGATATGTCAACCTTAGTTTGGCATCTGATCACTGGCTTCAAGCTGTTAACATGCTTCCTTGTCTTTCAGAATTGAGACTAGAATCCTGTGAGCTTCGCAACATTCCCCAAACTCTATCCACTTTGAATTTCACTTCCCTGTCTGTCCTGAACCTGTACTTCAATGACATAGACTCCACCATACCTCAGTGGTTCTCTAATCTCACTACCTTTTCTGAGATTGATCTATCATACAACAACGTTGAAGGCCATATAAGCAAACTATTTGCTGGCCTATCTCCCAGCAATGGTAGCTTAGAGGCACTCTATTTACATTATAATGAACTAAGTGGACAGCTACCAGATCATTTACAAATCTTCAAGGAACTAAGGTACTTTTACCTTTCAAACAACTTGATCTCAGGCTCTATTCCGGCATCAATAGGAAGTTTGAGGAGCTTGGAGGTATTAGACCTCAGTTACAATCCGATAAATGGTTCGATTTCAGAAAGCATTGGAGAGTTAACAGGATTAAAGCACTTGTATCTCTTTCAGGATTCCAGAGAAGGTTCTCTATCCCAGAAACATTTTCACAGGCTAAATAATTTGGAAACTCTGGCTCTATCATCTTCAAGCAAACAGCTTTTCTTAAATGTGAGCAACGACTGGATTCCTCCTTTCAATCTAAAATTCATGAGAATCACCAATTACCAAATTGGTGATAGATTCCCAACTTGGCTGAAGACTCAAAAGCAACTGTCCACACTCTATCTTCAAGGGGTAGGCCTCTCAGAAACTGTACCGAATTGGTTTTGGGAATTAACCCCTCAAATAATCAGGTTAGATATCTCTGATAACCGGATAGCTGGAGTGCTCCCGAAATCACTGGAATTTCCAAGGGGTGCATGGGTGGACTTCAGCTCAAATCGGTTCGAAGGCCCTCTTCCTTTATGGAGCAATGTGTCATATCTGAGTTTGGCCAACAATTCGATATCAGGATCGATCCCGGAGAACATTGGTGAACAAATGCCATACATGACTTACCTTAATCTGTCAGGTAACTTTATGAATGGTGAGATACCCTTCTCCATGGGGAAGATGAAGTATTTGACTGAGCTGTATTTGTCAAACAACAAATTTTCTGGAGAAATCCATGATAACTGGGGGAACTCACAAGCTCTCTTAATTATTGATCTGTCAATGAATAACCTTTCAGGCAATCTTCCTAGTTCAATGTTTTTACCAACTTACATTCTCTGGTTGAAATTGAATGGGAACAATCTTTCCGGAGAACTCCCATTCGGAACAACAATAAACTCTACATACTTGAGTCTGCTTGATCTTGGAGACAATAGATTTTCCGGGAAAATACCAAGATGGATTGGAGAAAGGCTAACCTCACTCACAGTGCTAAGGTTGCGAAACAATAAGTTCATAGGCAGCATACCTCAGGAGTTGTGCAGTCTTCAGATGCTACATGTCTTGGACTTTGCAGACAATGATCTATCAGGACATCTTCCTATCTGTTTGGGCAATTTGAGTGGCTTCCATGATGTGATGTTGTACCACAAAGTACCACCAGATGTACCTTATGCATTTATACCTCAAGTAGAATTGGTTGTGAAAGGGAGAGAAATGGCGTACACAAAAACACTTAAGCTTGTGAACATTATTGATCTTTCAAGCAATCATTTGCAAGGAGACATTCCAGAAGAGGTAAGCAATCTCTTAGCTCTGGGAACCTTAAATTTATCTAGAAACCAGTTCACAGGGAAGATACCGAAAAAGATTGGCAGTTTAGGCCTGTTGGAAACTTTTGACCTCTCATGGAACTCTCTCTCTGGTAGTATTCCTCCTGCCATGTCTCACATGACCTCATTAAACTTTTTGAATTTGTCTCATAACAACTTATCTGGACCAATTCCATCAACCAACCAGTTCCTTACATTTCAAGATCCCTCTATTTATGGTGGTAATCCTGGACTTTGTGGGGAACCATTGCCTACAAAATGCCAGATCCTCACTGGCCAAAACAGCAATGGGAAAGGACAGATTGATGATGACAAGAACGAAAAAATGCATGAAAAATTTTGGCTCTTCTTTTTAACAGGATTGGGATATGCATTGGGATTTTGTGGAAGTTTGGTGATGACAACTTTCTGGAGACAATGCCTGCTTAAAGTTCTAGGATAAACTATAGCAGTTTGAGGCTTCAGTTGTTCTGTCAGAGTTTCTTGTGTTAGTGTTGTATTGAGGCAATCTATCTGATAAGAGAAGATTTAACAGATTAGAATCTTATAGTACAAGTACTTTTTTGCTCTGAGCACCATAATAGTACATCTATAATGTTTGTAAAACTGGTTGTATTTATTACAGTTAAAAGCATAGTTCTACAAGTCTGAGCTTGTCATTCTGCTCCCTGTTTAGCAGGGAGGCATAGTGTCCCATTTTGTTACACATCGTCCTTTCAGATTCATCTGATATTTTACAGAAATTGTTTTCAAGCTTACAACAGTAACCTTATGGCCTTACAGAAAGCATTCAATTGTATGACCTTACAAACAAGCATTACTAGATATTTCAGCTAAACCTGAGATTATGCTCCTTGTTATGATGTTTTGCTCTTGACAGGGGCATTTAGCCGGGTAGAAATGCTCCTAAGGCCTGCCTTTACTGCAGTTATCATAGCAGACCAGCAATCCCTTGTTTTTGCGCTGACGCTGGATACTGCCCTTAAATGTACTGCCCCTTTATGGAACAAAGTTTTATCTTAAGTCAATATAGGCATTGAAGAAATTGGCAATCAAATACATTTTACACATGCATTTCAATATACAGAAGGATACAATATATGACATATGTTGAAGCACCATCGTTATAGGTGCTTTTTATCTTGCTGCTTCATAGTCATTATAGTTTTTCAGTGAACTAAACAAAAGTGGTAAGTTTCAGAGGTGCTGTGAAGATAGAATATGCTGGAGAGAGAGAGAGAGAGAGAGAGAGAGAGATTTGCCATGGTCACTTGATTAAGCATATCAAACATGCTTCGACACGAATGATATACCAATTTTCTAGTACAAGGGACTCACTCGACACCTCAGAGACAGACAACTCTTTTTATTACTCTCTATGATGACACAAGGTATGCTATATCTAAGTACAGACTCGATGCTTGCACATTTTAGAGAAGAGAACAAAAGAGAAGATATTACTAGAGATGAACTTTTAGGCCTTACTATCAATGGCCATTGGCATTGCCTCTTTTTTTTCTGCACTCTGCATTTCAACAACGCATTCATTAGATTAGCAACAAGTAGTTAGAACATGATTAGTTTACCACTATAAGATTACATTCTGACGAATTAAAAGAAAACCTTATCAGTAACTCAATGACTTACACTAGAATTTTGTTGCTCCAGTTTACTCATCTTGGCAAATATACTACCATAGAACTGTGCATCCTTCCGGTTGTATTCCTTCACTTTGTCCTTCAGGATTTTGTACTCCATTTTTACATCCCTGGCCATCCATGTTCCCAATCATGCAAGGCATTAGAAACAAATAGTAAAACACAGAACATAAAACATGCTTTTAAGCTGATCATAACTACATGTATTTTCTTGCCATTTTGCTTCCTTCTGTATCTACCGATATTTTAGGCTAATCTCAGATATATATGCCATGAAAGAATAACATACTGGTTCAAGTTTGACATATAGTATATAAATCATATTTAGATCAAAGAAAATGAATTTTTTACAAAAATGTTCATTTTAATACATTACAACAGATCTGTGGAACTCATACCTATTATCTGGATCAATTTCAAGAGCTTTCTTTATGTCCTGTTCTGCCAATTCTAGTTCAACAAGTTGGATGTATGCTTGGGCCCTTCTATAAAGTGCTTTGACGTTCCTGCTATCAATATCCAAGACCTTTGTGCACAATTTCACTGCCTCTTTATAGTCTTTTAGTTTCAGTTTACAAGCTGCATTGTTCAAATTGCAACTGATCTTGAGCAATTTAGCCTGTTGCTTCTCCTCATCGCTGAAAGATGAGTCATATTCTACGAAGCCCACACCCTGAGCACAATAAAAGAAGCCTTTTAAGGACATTTGAAATAAAAATCATGGACAGGAGATTTGAATTTTTTTGCAGAAGTGTGCAGCACCTTCTCATATCTCTTAGAGGCTCTCGCATATTTTCCTGCCTTGAACCATACGTTCCCTTCCTCCTTTTTCTTCCCAGCAGCCTCAATTTTCTCTTGGGCATTCATGTCCCAAGATTCCTTCTCCTATGGTAAGTAGTAAATGTAACAATAGTCAAAACCTCATCCAGATGCTTGAAAGGCAAACATCTTTGTGTGCAGAGAAAAGTGCTCACTCACGTTGACAAAGGAGACCATCTCAATCTCATAGTATAGGGTTGAATCTGCAGGAACAACAGCCAGCTCTTGTTGTGACTCAGATGGACCAAAAGCATATTCGGGTTGAACAATTACAAGAGCCATTTCACCCTTTTTCATTGTTTTTACAGCTCTATCAAGTCCTTCAATGACTTGTTCTGCAGACAGACAGCAAAAGGTAAGTTCAACACAACTGAACAAGTAGAAAAGGATACAATACATGGCCACATATTGTTTGCTGATAAGAGTGAAAAATAGTAAAATAGTACCGTATGAAATATTAAAGGCAGCTAGAGCCTTATAAGTTGTAGGTTGCATTAGGTGAATGACCAATTACCTTCATCTACCTTGAACTCAAATTCTTCTCCATCATGTCCCTTTTTTACAAAAACAGTTCCGTCCTGCAGCTTTCCAGTCAATTTCACTGCCAAACACTAAAAGATAATTTAGAATGAAAATTCCAATGGTGGATCACTGCAAAGAGTTTACATTTTTGCTCTGCAGTTTACCTTTCACAACTGTGCCATCATTTGGGCGCTCATATCCTTCTCCCTCCTCCAGGATCTTCTTCAACACTTTTTTGTCATTGGTAACATCGGACACAGTTTTCCATGAAACCAATTCAAGATTAATTTGAAGTGAAGCATTCGGTGGAACACTAATTTCATCACCAACTTGAGGCCTTCCCTTCTCTCCAAACGCATCTGCAATAACCAACAGTCAGCAACCCAAAGGACAAATTGCAAGCCAATCTAGGATGCAGAAAGCTAACTTACATTGTGAATTGACAGTTAAGAGAGCTTTTTCACCCTTCTTCATTGTTTTAACAGCTTTTGCTAAAGCAGGACAGAAGAAACCTGCAAGCAGATCAAACTTTTACAAGCGTCCCCGGAAAACTGGAGAAAGAAGAAGGTTAATGAGGACAACATATTACCATCTTTCACAGTGAACTCAACTCCATCCGATTTGGAAATAAGAGTTCCATCCTCAAGCAGTGCCTCATATTTGACTGCAAGAGAAGGAGAACATTTAGCAAATTTAATAACCCAAGTCATCCAATGAAAGCCATGAAAACAATTATAAAGAAATGATAGATGATTGACGCACCAAAAACTTCATCAAGATCTTTAGGATTCTGCCAACCCTCTCCTTCAACAAGTACTTTCTTGAATATTCCACCATCTTTGCATATATCTTTCACACTAGTCCAAGAAAGCAACTCAACTTCAAACTGCAGAGTGGCATTAGGAGGTATTGTTGGAGGTGATCCAGACTCCCCATAGGCCAACTCAGGAGGGATGGTGAAGAGGGCCTTCTCACCCTTTTTCATTGTCTTAATACCCTCATCCCAACCTTTGATAACTTGTCCTGCATTAGGTAAAAATCAAAATGCCACAATCAAATAGAAGCCTTTTCAATTATAGACCTACTCCAGATGTTTATTAACAACATATTTGCTGGCAGGCTGGTAATTGCCTAAAATGTAAGAGTGTTCTTTTATCTTCTTGTACTGTCCAATAATCCAAACTGGACAAACTAAGACCTGATTAAAACAGGGCAAATTGCATTGTCAGCAGGGATGAAAAGACTAAACAACTGTCATATTAAACTTCAAATTACTATTGATCCTTGAACTTCAACCGAACTTAGCTAGTCTTTACCTTGGCCAAGCTTCAACTTGAATGGAGTTCCCCTGTCACGGCTCGAATCAAATTGAGTTCCATCAAGCAGAGTGCCCACATAATGCACTGCACAATCAACATCAAACCATCAAAAAAAAAAAAAAAAACATTATCAGCATGATACAGTGGATGAAACTCCCTCAAATCAAAAAATCATTTCATTCATCAAATAGCCAACACCTAACTGAGAACAAGAAGTAATGCCCATTTCGTCAAAAGCAATACCAAACTGTTGATTGAGGTTCCTCACACTTAATAAAATTATCTTAATTTCTAAGCAGTTTACATGACAAACTCTTCAATTCATTCAAACTTTAAGAAGAACCCTTTTCCAGAAACGGTCCAAATAACCCCAATTGGGGTCTTATACACCATAAAGATCCCAACTTTGAGAATCATGCAGCATAATCAAGCCAAAATGAAAGTCAACCCATTAACAATCTAGATAAAAAA